TGTGAGCCACTACTGTGCCTAGCTAGTTTTCTGTTTCTTAAATGAAGCAAGATAAAGAGGACCACATAGACTGTATCTTTGGGGAGGCAGGAGATCTAAGATCATTTACTGAGAATAGGCAGCAAAACCAGGGGGAAGGAAGGAAGGTAATAACTAATCATGGCATTCCAGCAGAGCTTACCCACGCTATTTAACCCTCTCCCGTACTTGGCACAGCATTACACAAAATCACTTAGCAGGCCACAGCTCAACAGGATGGATGTTGCTATAGTCCCAGCTGGACTCAGGGCACGTTCACAGACCAGTCAGAGCAGCAAGCCCCCCAAGCAACCAGTGAGAAAACTCAAATGGGGTTTATGGATCAAGGTGGTATACTGAATGCATGAGCCCGCTTCTTCCCTCATGAAACCCCATGAAAACAGGGGCAAAGGAATGAAAGTTATATTAATACAACCATGAACACAGAGGGATACCGAAGAAAACAGTAAGCAAGAGCTAGCAACCTATCGATGCAAGAATGGAACTGATGGAGAAGTGAGCAGGGCGGGGGATCGTAAAACCACGTGCCTGCAGAGGGGAGGCCACAGAGTGGTCAGCAGAGATGCCCTGTGGCTTCCAGGGGAGGCTTGGGGATTGGAATGGGAGGGATGGGGTGAGACATGGGGCTGAAGACCAGGGCATTTGTTGGCTCAGAGGTCCCCTGTCCTTCCCATGCAGCCAGATGACCACTGGGCTCCTACTCCATGGAGAAATCAGAGCAGCTCCAACTCAGGGACACCAGACACAGCAAAGGTGGAAGCAACTCAATGAAAGTCTAAATATTCATGGGTAATGAGGCTGCCTGCTCAGCAGTGAGAACTCGGGCACACTGAGTATAGACCAGGGTCTCTGGATATGGTCCTACAGTTTGTGCATTGCACAGAGGCAGCTGGCTAAAGGGGGAAATCAGGAGGTAAAATCTAGCCTTTTCATTGTTCTTCAAGCATTGTCCAAGCTCAGGGCTGGGTATGTCTGGAGGAAGGGGCAAAAGGTGTCCTCTGCCAGTCAAGCCAAGTGCTCATGGGGGCTTCTGCCCAGATGGGACACTGTTTTTGAAACAACATGAGGGTTCAGCGTAGGCTAAAAGCAGCCCTGTGTATGGCCCTGTTTCCCAGAGAGTAGTGGGAACATCTCTAAAGAAACAGAATGAGCCTCAGAGAAAACACGTGCAAATACTGACATGCAGCGTTCTCCAATGATGAGTCCAGGTGCCCACCTGGTGACCCTAGTGGAAAAGCTCACCAGTTGGCACACACAGCTTCCAATCAGCTTTTGGATGCCCCCTCACTACTTTTTTTTTTTTTTTTTTTGAGACGGAGTCTCACTCAGTCGCCCAGGCTATAGTGCAATGGCACCATCTTGGCTCACTGCAAGCTCTGCCTCCCAGCTTCACCCCATTCTCCTGCCTCAGTCTCCTGAGTAGCTGGGACTATAGGCGCCCGCCACCACGCCCGGCTAATTTTTTGGTATTTTTAATAGAGACAGGGTTTCACCGTATTAGCCAGGAAGGTCTCAATCTCCTGACCTCATGATCCGCCCATCTCGGCTTCCCAAAGTGCTGGGATTACAGGCGTGAGCCACCGCGCCCAGCCAGGATGCCTCACTCTTAAACATGAACAGATCCACAGGATCACCAGATATTTGAGAAAAATTTACAACGTGAAAGACAGAGACTGAGATCAACCAAAATAAAGGGAATTCAGAGGAAATGAGGGCAACACAGGAGCAGAAAAAGAACTTCCCCTCAAAACACAATCATTAACGTCCACAGAGAGACAAAATCTGCATTCACGCATCAAGAAAGGGACACCAGAAAACAAAGACAGGATAATGACCAAAGGTTTTGTTAATTTGGAAAATAAAACTTCAATACAACCTTCAGATTGGGAAGATAAAAATGAATAATTCTCCCTGAAAGCAGATCGGAAACAGATGAAAAACAGAAAAGATAAAACTTACAGCATCAGCCTGGGGGTAGGGGAGGGTCCAACATTGAAATAACAGGTGGTCCAGAAAGAAAAAAATGTAAGTAATCAAAATAAACTTTAAGAAATTTCCCATGAAGCCCCAGCACAAGGTTTAACACCCAGGATATGACACCATCATGACAGTTCAGAACACCAAGAATAAAGAGATCTTAAATGTTTCCAGGGAGGGTGGATAAAAAACCTAAGTCACATGTAAAGGTATGGGACTCAGAATGGCATCAGAAATCTCAACACCAGCACACTTGGGAGGCGTTAGGAGACAGTATTATTTTCCACCTGTCATTCTATGCTCAGCCACATTTCTGTTAGGGGCAGAATACAGACATTTTAAGTCATGCAAAAATCTCAAAATATTTACAACCATATTTACTTCACATGTTCTCTTCCTCAGGAAGTTATTAATGTGCCACACCAAAAAAAAAAAAAAAAGAAAAAAAAAGAAAAAGAAAAGAAAAGTAAAGAGAGAGAATAACAAATTAAGGGGGACATTTGGAGGAGAAAGGAGGACATGTAACCATAACACACTGCTGGGCTTGGGAGTCAACAATCCTTAAGTGCTCCAGGTAATGTCAACACCTAATAGAAATGTACGAAATGATGTGATCTAGCTATACTGGAAAACCAAAATACGGTATGGTAAGAGTGAAATCCTCATCTACTGTGATAGCAAGCCGGTAGGTGTTTCTAAATTAATTAAAACATAAGCGTAAGCACGTTATGTAGAAATGCAAACATAAGAGAGGTGAAAGTGGTTACTTCTAAGCAGCGAGACTTAGGGGACTGCTAGTTCTTGTTAAAAGCCTTATTGCATTTCTTTTAAATTAAAAAAAAAATTACAAGCAATGGGGTGGTTTCTCCTGCAGACTTCCACATCCATTTTCTATATCCACCTTCTTCCATAGAAGTCCATACTCAAATGAGATTTCTTTTTCCTTTTCAAAAAATCAGTTGACTGCCAACCTGAACCAAATGACTTTTAGGCATCTTGCCAGTGGATGTTTTAAACAATATTACAGGTTGTAATAGGTGAGAAAAGAATCCTGCAGAGGTTTTTCTGAACAAGGTCTAGACCCATAAAATGAAATGATTCACATTTTGGTCGGCTCTTCCCGGGCTCTTTGAGCATCCAATTTAGGCAAGGACTGCATGGTGCCCAGGGTTATAAACTATCACACACATAATCTTTATTATCTGTACCTTTGCGCTTTCATTGATGCCAGGGAGCTCATTAATTAGCTCATTTTCCACGGGGCTCTTGGCCTTCCAGATGGAATCACTCCAAGCTCCCAACAGCCTTCTGCTTTGAAGGCTGAAATTCTTTCAGGAGGGGAGACAGACTATAATCAGACTGGTTTAGAGGCCAGATTTGGGCTGTCATCGACTCAGATGTGCTATGTAAATTCTTCTGGCCATGCTGGAATTCTGTGAACTTGAAACCCACTGCTTGAAATGAGCAAGTCCTTGGCTAGCAAAGAAAGAAACGTGATTCCTGGAGTAAGAACGACGCTGGTATGTCAAATGACAAGCTGTTGCAGCCGTCCAGGGTATTTCAGAAGGAAACGGGGATGAGCTTGAAGGTGAGTAAGACTTCCTCATGGGAAAAATACAAGAACAAAACAAACGTCGACAGTTGGTCTAAAATTTTTGGTTTTGTTTGAATGTGGACATTTTAATCTAGTCATTTTATCTTTTTCTCAGGACACGGGGGTGCCCGGTGGAAGTTTCCTACAAGGGGACATCAGGTGCCTGTGTGCTCACCGCAAGTCTGCCCCCGGTTGGCTGCATGATCTTGGTCACGCTGCTCTGTCACCCTGGGTTCAGCTAGACAAGGTGCTCTCTGAGTCCCCTCCTGACTCGTTTGTGATTTTATAAGGGTTGCCTGGTACGTGCTTTCTGAACGGGAGAGCAAGAGGAGGAGGAACTGATGCAGAGATTCGCCACAGACCGGAGTCTTGGCAGGAAGGAGAGAGTGGAGAGAGCCCGGGGCTGAAGAAGACGGGGGGCAGGGGTGCTAGAGACGCCTATCTTCTTTCACAAACCTCCTGTGCTGGCCTGCTCCCAGAGTACTGTCCAGAAAGCCTCTTCAAGAAACGCATTACAAGTGACCACAAAGGATGCCCGTGCCAAAACGTGCATTCTGAGGGAGGTGTGCACCAAAGCTTTGGCAGGTAGGAAGTTGCCGCATCACCCAGCTCCAGCACCGGTGGGAGCTGATTCCAGCCCAGCCACTCCTCATGGCTTTTACAGGGCCCTGCTGGGCCTTGAGGATCTGGTTTGAAAATCATGGCTCTATCTCAATCCAATCAATGGAAAACTGAATTTCAAATGCATCTCCCCTCAAACAAACAACACAACAACAACAACAACAACAACAAACCAGGGTGAAAAAGAGCACACTGTGTCTCTCAACACAGCTTTCCCCTTGCTCCCTGGATTCTGCCATTCCCGGATGTGCTTGCACAGAGCCGGCTGCTCAGATTTCCCCCAGTGAATGCAACCAGTTACTGGACTGCAACAGGTGCATGGACCCCAGTACCTTCTCTCAAACATCCATGCTTGGAGGAAAATGTGGCAGCTTTCTTCCCAGCTGGGGCTCTGCCTGGGCGCCCACCCTCTTTCTCATCAAGCAGCCCTTCATCTGAATCCTAGTTCATCCAGGATGTGAACCTGCATGTGGGGTGCACTAAGATCCAGGCAGGCTAATGATCACTAATGATGCTTCCTATCCGACCCAGCAAGGCACCCAAGGACAAAACCCCACCTACGGATCCAGCTGCATGCCTGAGTTTTGAGTACACAGCCAAAGAAAAAAGCATGCTCACGTCGTCCAGAAAAAAAAGGAAACCTGGAAAAAAAAAAACCCACAAAAACCACAACAGTGAGAAAGGGCGTCTAAGTTTCCTCGGAGGTCCTCAACTGTCTGTAGAAGTACCCCACCCAGAACCCAAAATAAAATGAAGTACCCCGCCCCGGTCAGGGTCCTGTCTTTTTTATTATCCAGACACACGTATCAGAGTCTGTTAACATCCAGTTGTGGGAACAGCAGCAGGCAGTACACCAGGAGCCACAGGAAGAGAATAAAATACATCATATCCGGCTGCTGGACAAGCTGCGTCAGAGAGTCGCTCTGCGGGCTGTGGCTCCCCAGTGACATGGCTTCTCCTGAGCTGTTGGCCTTCCTACAGAAGGAACACAGAGGAAAGGCAGTTACCAAGCAAGTTCCCAGGAGAGTGGACCCCACCCAGTCTCTCCCCGGCCCCCACTCCCTGCCTGACGACCTGAAGGCTCCCCAGCACCAGGTCCAGGTAGGCCCCACACTGTGTGTGCTGACCCAAGCCAGTGGGTTGGGCCAACAAGGAAGCCCCTCAAGCTTTTGCACACACTCTGTTCATCTCCATAACATCAGGTGGGAGGAGCTAGCAGCGCCATTCTGCAGATGGACACACTGAGGCTTTCGGGTGGAGTGACTTGCCCAAGGCCACGGGATTACTTGGCGACAGAGCTGGCACCTAGGCCAGGTCTCCTGGGACACCTTTCTTGATGCCACAGTGCTCTCAGAGAGTGGCATGGAGTTAGATACTGATGGTTCGCTGCTGTTTGTTAGTAACAGAGAGGACCGCATGGGTCATCTAAGGGACGAAGCATCCCTGATAGCAGATCATTTTAAATCATCTATCAGAAAGAAAGAAACAAAGACCTCTCCCATTCCCCACAGTTTTGTTTTGGCTTTGGAATATTACCTTTAAAATAATTACTAGGGGCCGGGCGCGGTGGCTCACGCCTGTAACCCCAGCACTTTGGGAGGCCGAGGCGGGTGGATCACCTGAGGTCGGGAGTTCAAGACCAGCCTGACCAACATGGAGAAACCCCATCTCTACTAAAAAAAAAAAACAAAAAAAACCAAAATTAGCCAGGCATGGTGGTGCATGCCTGTAATCCCAACTACTCGGGAGGCTGAGGCAGGAGAATCGCTTGAACCCAGGAGGCGGAGGTTGCAGTGAGCTGAGATTGTGCCATTGCACTCCAGCCTGGGCAAAAAGAGCAAAACTCCGTCTCAAAAAAAAAATAAAAATAATAAATAAAATAAAATAATTACTAGATTTGATTTCAGTCAGATTTACCTTCCTGCTTTTATTTTATAGGCGGTAGTGTTAAAATGCCATTTTGGTTTTGCCTGGTGGACAACAGGGAAGCCCAGAAGGTTTTGCCCGGCGGATAATAGTGAATCACAGAAGATGGCGGAAACCAACCCCAGACCTGAGTTTCCAGAGGAAAGGGTGAGGTAGGGACCATGAGCTGGGGCTGGGGCCTCTGCTTGGAGCTGCATGTAGAGAAGCCTGCAGTGTAAGCTTCTTAGGGGGTTTCGTGCCATGTAATGGAGATTATGAGAGGCTAAAACCACTTGTCCCAGTACTATCCCCTGATAGCAGGAGTGAGGGGCAGGGTGGGATTAAACATCTGCCGCCATCTACATACTGAACGATAAATACCCACATGATGGTATTTTTAAAAAAGCTGTCCACAGAAACAATTTAAACTACATACTTTTTATAGAGACAGGGTTTCTCTGTGTTGCCCAGACTGGTCTCAAACTCTTGGTCTCAAACTCCTGGCCTCAAGCAGTCCTCCCTCCTTGCCTCCAAAGTGCTGGGATTACAGGCATGAGCCACCACATGCAGCCTAAACCATATTTTTTATTGTAAAGGTAATAAATGCTCAATGTAGAAAACTGAAAACATGCCTGCATTTCTCAACTCTATAGGTTCTATTTTCAACATCTCTATCTCATAAGAGCAAAAAGGATTATTTTCCTATGAGCACGTCCAGCCTAGTTGAAAACTTGAATTAGTATTTCCCTTTCATGGCAGGGGAAAGGAGCTGTCTTGCTTCTTTTTTAGCAGCCAGAGGGATGGGGTTCTAAGGACCACACTCTTGGGTGTTGGGTAATATTCAGACAGAGGCTTCCGATTCCAGTAATCTAAATCCTTCCAAGCCAATTCAAATCTGTGGTGAGTAAATAAAACTTTTTAAAAATAGAAACATAAAGCAATTCTATGACTTCAACAGGAATGGGGATGTCTCAGAATTGTAAGAGTTTGAGAAGTTTTTCTGGTTCCCTATGTTTTAAATGGGCAGGTTTCCAGCAATTCAGCAACATTAGGCTAGGCCAGCAGTTCTCCGACAGCAAGAAATACTTTCATAGACTTCCTGGCATGTTTGCTTTCCCTCTTCATGTCTGCTCTGATGCCATAAAACTGTAAAATCAGCTCAGTGAGCTTCTGAGTATTGTACCTGCAGTGGCGACAGTGAACAGACAGGCGTCAGGGACTATAGCATTGCGGCGGAGGGGACATAGCCTCACAAGACCACCACCTCTTCTCCCGCCTGGCCCTCCCTTTGCTAACTACCTTATACCACTAAACCACCCTATACCGTACACCACTCATGTAAACAAAGCAGCAGGCTCAGAACCCAGACCCGTCTTTAAACTGACTCATTTTCAGAACCGGGCCCTGCCCATCAGTGTTAATTAATATCTACTTTTCCTTTCTACTCCTATTCAATTTACATCATTTTCTCTGGAAGAGTTATTTCCTTGCATTATCCCAAATTATTAATACTGTTATCAACAAAGCAGTGGGAGAAGAACCGCCCCTGTAAGGCAGGCTGCAGAATGGAGAAACGTTTTATTACAACCGCCACAAAACCTGAAGTAAAGCCACCAACCTGGTTAACATTCGGTTTCTTCTGTCATCCAGATCTGCTGCGTTCCTCAACTGAACATAGCTAAAATGATCCTACAGTGAAATTTATAAACAAAACCCCCGCAACCCAATTAGTAAAGATGAAATCTCTGAAACAGAAAATAAAACGATTTTAAACACACAAAGCCGAGCATGCCGTGCATTTCTCAATACTGTCAGCATCTAGATCCAAAATCAAAGCATTACACAATAGACATTCCTCTACTTCCTCCCCCAAGCCCCTCCCTTGTGAGCAAGAGAATCCCCACCACCTGGAACCCGAATTGGGGTGTGCTGCTCCGGGTTCTAACACATCTGGTACTAAGCACGTGCGAGTGTCCATCGGACCTCCACTCATGTTGCACCTCTGTCTTTGAATGTGATCTTTCTGGGTGTGTGTGCAGGGGGGGGTCCAGGCAGGGCGTTTTGGATGCGTTTTTGTAACAAAGAGGCCTTTGGGCTTTAAAATCATCACTTTATTTACATCCCTTATTGCCCAAACCGGACATCCGATTGGACTGTGCTTAATGACAAGGTTTCAATTTGCTTGTCTTCTATCCAAAAGTATAGCTGTTGCACGTCAGTAATTTCAAAGCTCTGGGCTGGGGAGGAGGAAGGACGGAAAGGAATTGATTAGCAGGGGCCGTGCGGAAAAAGAAGAAATTCACATACTAACCGATTCCGAAGACCTATTAGTATGTCGTCGAATGTAAATGCTGGAGTCACTGTGACTAGTCCTGAAAAACAAACACACGTTTTCAATTGGTACCACCTGGAGCTCTTCATGGCTCAGTTGTACGGTCACCCGCATCCTGGGGCTTCCACATATGGATTTGGGCAAGAGCGACGACTTCACACCCAGGGACAGAAATGAGAGATTTTATCTAATACCCCTACTTGGGTTGGAGAGTGCTTACGAATAGGATGGATATTAGTGACACACACATTGGGCCCTCATCTACAAGAAAACATGAAGTCAGGATTTTAAATAGAAAGCAAGCCACATATTCTTAAAAATCATAGCATTTGGATCAGTAAGTAACCCAAGCATCCCGATGTGTTGGGACTCACCAGAGGTTCTCTGTAATTAGTCAGACCTGGGCCTAGACCAGGCTGCCCCGACTCTCTCTACCTGCCTCTGAGGTCCAGAATGTGCAAGTGGGAATGCTTGCCTCACATTTTTCATGTTCCACCCAGTCCTCGCGGAACGGAGGGTGACGTCATATTTCCTTGAAGGATGGAGCCCTGCCTTCAACCCCTGTGGCTGACCTCTTTCTCCCTCTCCTGAAGTCCCCAGGCCTAGCAGACTCCATTGCATAGTGGCTGCTCAAGGATTCTTTGAGAACTAACCTGTTTAGAGAGAAGCTGAGCAGTTGGGCAGATTCCCTGGGCTGTTTGTCCAAAGCGTTCACCGGCACTGACAGCAGAGCCCAGCGACATGTGAAGATCATAGATGACTGCTAGACAGTCACACCCAGGGGCAGGGACAGGCACGCTGGGAGTCAAAGGCCAAATGGGCAGCAGCCTTCTGTTGTGCCTTGGCCCTCCTCCCCCTGCCTCTGTTTCCCCAAGGTCCAGGCACAGAAGCAAGGCAGAGGGAGGTGGAAAGCCAGGCACCTGCCAGCAACTCCTCTGGCTCTGTCTGTATGGGCTTCTCCCTGCCCCTCCCCAAATGCATATCTCAATAATGTTCTGTTGCAGCTTGCGTTACTCACATCATCACAGGCAACAAGGGGGCACAAAAAGAATGTGGACTGTGGAGTGGGACACATCTGAGTCCAAGACTCCCTAGCTCTGCCATCTCCTAAGCTGGGAAAGTTAGCTGGCCCCAGACCTTCTTTGTCTGCCATATGAGGCACAGTCCCACCAATGTGTCTATAGGTGACATGAGAATGAATGAGAAAATGAGTGTGAAGTGCCTGGACACAGTAAGGGCTTGATAAACACTGGCTGACTATTGTGATGATGAGAGAGGGGAGAGACCAGGGTCTTCTGATTTTCAGCAGTTACACATTTTCCCAGGGACAAATCTGGCTCATCTGGTGGCCTTGGAGTGACAGAGCAGAGGCGTGCTATGAGATTCCTGTAGATCAGTTAAATCTCATTATCCTCCCTGCTCCCTACTTCTCCCAAGCTAGATCAAGCATCCCTACTTCCTTGGAACGGGAATTGTGGAAGAAGCCATAAGGTTAATAAGATGCCCAGCTTCCACGGGCCAGACGTTAAAGATCTCCTTTGTGGAAAGGTGGATACGCTTGAAGTCATTGAGATGCTTATAAAGTGAAGTTTGCTCAACTGCAGTTGTCTGGGGGCCAGAAGGCAGCCAACAGAGGCTCCAAGTCCACCGCGTTCACCCCAGCGCCTACCTATGGTTCAGCCATCCACTGCTCACTGCCAGCTTCCACTCAAAGGTTTGAAGAGTGAGGAGAGAAGGCAAGCTTCCCATCCTTCCCATTTTGCTCCTCATGAGGTCTGGTAATGGTGAGGGTGGGTGGGGGAACCCAGGTGTAGAGAATGAGGACTGTACATGAAGCTGTGTTTCCCTTGCTGTCCAATTCCATGCCTGCACCTCCCACCCCATCAAATCCGAAACTGCAAATGACTCTGTAACTCTCCAGCTCCACCTTAAGCGTGAAAAGAGATGAATAAAATACCTGGAAGGAATGCAGTGGTCGCTAGTGTCTTCTTCTAGGTCATCTGAGGACTGAATACTTCCAGGTGCTACAAATAGTGAACTTTCTACGTGGTCCACATGTTTCCTTTTTTCCTTTTTTTTACTACTGATTGAATCTTTCGTTACATTTCCTTCTAGGGGGTTTGCTATGTTTTCCGGGTTTGGGGATTCCTGGGACTGAAAGAACAACCAAATCCAAGTCAGTATGTCATAGTGCAGTGTAAAGTAGGTGACACCACCCAGCAGTGCTCTGCTCAGGCCCAGCCAGGGCGTCCCTTCCAATTCTGCCTGTTCCCTGATCCTCCTCATGAATCCCCTGCAGCACAGCCTGCATGAGAGACAAGTCCACCCCAACTCCCACCCCGGTACAGAATTCAAATTCTACAAATTGATGGAGTTAAAACAATACAGGTTCTAGAGTCAGCAATCTGATTTCAAATCCTGGCTGAGTCAGCTCTGCGACCCTGAGTGACTGATGTTATCTTTTTGAGCCTCAGTTTATTTGTTGGTGAAATGGGTACGATAATTATTAACCACGTCCCCCTATTCCATAGGATTTCCTATAAATCATGTCTCTAATTAGTTGTGTGTGGTGGTGCCTGCGGTCCCAACTACTTGGGAGGCTGAGGTGGGAGGACTGCTTGGGCCTGGGAGGCAGAGGTTGCAGTGAGCTGAGATCATGCCACTGCACTCCAACCTGGGTGACAGGTGAGACCCTGTGGAGAAGAAGGAAGAAGAAAAGAAGAAGGAGGAGGATGAAGAAGGAGAAGGAAGAAGGAGGAGGAAGAAGAAAGAAAGGAGAAGAAAAAGAAAGAAGAAAAATAAAGGATAGAAAAAAGGAGAGAAGAGAGGAAAGAAAAGAAAGGAAAGAAAGAAAGAAAGGGAAGAAAGAAAGAAAGAGAGAGAGAAAGAAAGAAAGAAAAGGAAGGAAGGAAGAGAGAGGAAGAGAAGGGCTCTTACAGTGAGCAGTGGCTGAATCCTTCACAATCATTATCCATTTAAACAAAGGAATAAATCCAGGAAGCTAGGTGGGCCAAAGGGTGCAAAGGTGGCCTATAGGTTTGGAGAGGCACACAGGCAGGTGTAGTGTTTTCAGGATGCCATCTTCACTGTGCCTTTGGCCAAAGATGGATGGTAGTGCAACATGTCTAGCATATATCTGGTAACGAAGATTCTTTGGCCTCTGTCTGCACCAGGCACTCTGAAACCTGTCAGCAAGGCTCCCGAGTGAAACGCAGGAGCATGGTCATTGTTGGAGCCACCTCTCAAGAATTCTTTCAGGGGCTGGAAGAACCTGTTCAACAGGTATCAGAATAAGAGCATTAGAGTGGCCAGGCCATTGTGCCCCAGGAGAACAAAGCTCCATACAGGAATGAAAAGCTGCGCTTAGCAATCTGAAATGATAGTCTCACAGGCTGCCCTCATCAATGGTCAAATGCCACCATTTCTGAAAGGTGAAACAAGCAGAGGGTTTATGTATTTTTTCAAGACCAGAAGAAAAAAATTGCCATTTTGTAGTCCCTTTGGCTAAGAAAATATCTTTTTTTTTTTTTTTTTTTTTTTTTTGAGATGGAGTCTTGCTCTTGTCTCCTAGGCTGGAGTGCAGTGGTGTGATCTTGGCTCACTGCAACCTCTGCCTCCCGGGTTTAAGTGATTTTTCTGCCTCAGTCTTTCAAGTAACTGGGATTACAGGCACCTGCCACCATGCCTGGCTAATTTTTGTATTTTTACTAGAGACAGGGTTTCTCCATGTTGGCCAGGCTGGTCTCGAACTCCTGACCTCAGGTGATCCACCCACTTTGGCCTCCCAAAGTACAGGGATTACAGGAGTGAGCCACTGCTCCCAGCCTCTTTTTTTTTTTTTTTTAAAGGAAGGCAAGGTATCAGAGAAATGCTCCATCCCATCTCCTCTCTGCCAGGAGGCAAGACTCCCAGACCTCACCTTGGGCTCCTCATCAAATGGGCTGTACCCTCTCCCTACGCTCACCCACACGGATTGAGGCAAGGGCTCCACTTGGGAGAAAATTGCAAGGTGGGCTTGGGATCAGTGGGCAGTGCTTGCTGGGGAGGGGAGGCAGCAGACTGCAGCCACGTGAGGCAGACGGTGTTGATTTCATTCCCACATAGTACCCAAGAGAGCTCATCTGCCCATGCTCTCACCAAGAGTGAGATCCATGTAAGATGGAGATCAAATCTAGATCTCCTGATTCTACCATTGCAACCCAGGGCTCTTTCAATCACAAGTGCTGGACACATGCACCCTCTGCTTTTAGCAATTGCTGGAAGGAAAGCATTCGAGAAAAAACGCCATATTTGTATTTTCACAGGCCACATCCAATAGGCCAGGAGGGAGGATGCAAGCCGCTAATTAATCATTTTAGTTTATTATTATTATTATTTTTGAGACAGAGTCTCGCTCTGTCACCCAGGCTGGAGTGCAATGGTGCAGTCTTGGCTCACAGCAACCTTCGCCTCCCGGGTTCAAGTGATTCTCCTGCCTCAACCTCCGGAGCAGCTGGGACTACAGGCACGTGCCACCACACTTGGCTAATTTTTTGTATTTTTAGTAGAGACGGGGTTTCACTGTGTTAGCCTGGATGGTCTCGATCTTCTGAACTTGTGATCCGCCTGCCTCGGCCTCCCAAAGTGCTGCGATTACAGGCGTGAGCCACGGCGCCCAGCATTTTAAAGAACAGAGGGGCTGAGATGCAACTCAGGCTCTCCCCACCACCCACTCAGTCCTCTTTCTTTTGTCCTGCAAGAGCGTTCTGGCCATAACAGATTGTGGCCTCGGCTGTGTTGCCCCTCAATCTGCGGACAACAAGGCCAGATCTCACTGGAGGATATTTCTAGCCCTGCTGGATTTTCATGGCCTCCGGCAGGAAGCACCTGCATGGCGGCGGGACTGACTTCAGAGAAGTCAGCACACAGGAGGCTGTGGGAGCGAGTGGGGGACTGGGTTCCTCTCCCTGGGGGAAGAAGGGGAAGATGGCAGGCGTGGTCCCTGGCACCTGCAGAGCCATCCAGTCCTCTTCCCGTCCATTCCATGGTTGGCAAACACAGAGTGCGCAGCCCTGCCCATGTGCCCCTTGGCCTGAGGATGCTGCTTCTCCTAGGGCTTAGGCAGCCACTCCTCATTGCTCAGATTTGGCAAACTGAATAAAACCAGCCCCTGACTTCTGGCCTAGCTAAAATCCTAAGTGTCTTTTAGGACGAACCTGATCCCTTAGACTAATTTTCCTTACTCTCTTTATTGGCTCAACGAATCTTCTAGGTCTTCTACCCCACTCATTCACCCCAACTACTCAACTATCAATAAACTTTTAAACTTTAAAAAGGCTACTTGAACCCAACTTTTTTCGGTAGCTCCTGCAGGATGCAAGGCTCTCTTAATCCTTCAAGCAGCCCCAGTCCTTTGGGCCCCTCACTGGGCTCTGACGAGCCAGAGCTTTGTCATGTGTCTCAGTATTTCATTTACCTTCCAATTGCTGTAAGCCCCCGAAACCATCGTGTAATAAACCTTTGTCCCCTCCATTGGCAGGCCCTGTCAGGCACTGTGCTGGTCTCCAGCATCCAAAGATCAATACACAAATGTCCACTCTCTCACGGGAGAGAAAAACAAAGCCCACGGAAATCAGGCAAGCACTCAAGGAGAGACGGTCGAGAATGTGACCAGCTATAGGGAGGGAGCAATGGCCCTGCCTGGGGAGGAGGTGGAAGCGCTTCTGGGAGGAGGTGCCATTTGCATTGGCTTTGAAGGGTGAATAACTGCTTGCCCAGATGGTGGGACCAGCCCAATGACACCTGGAGGCAGAGGAGAGCCTGGATGTCTGGGGGTCTGGGAGGATGCTGGCTTGGCTGGAGGAGGGGGAGACAAAGAGGGGTGGGTGGCCAGGTTAGAGCAGGAAGAGTCTTGGAGTTCATGCTAAGAACTTTAGAATTGATTCTGGAGCAGGAGTCAGGAAGTGATAAGATGTGACCTTTGTTTTAGGGTCATCCCTTTGCAAGCTGAGCTGGGGAGGAGGGACAGTGAGAGACTGGGGAAGGGTCTCAGATAGAGGTAGAGCCAATGCAATCTGAAATAGCTGGTCACTTTCCCACCTGGCTTCTGTACTTAGGGGACTTCTACCCTTAGTCCCTCCACCCAGAACTCCCTCCCCAGTTCTAGGGTCCCCAAAACCCCCATGCAGCCTTTCTAGATCTGGGTGGGAGCCTCCTTCTGTTGAACCCCTGAATCCCTTTGCTGGGCCCATCTCTTATGGCTGAGGCCACATTCTCTCACAGTACAGTTACAGGGGACTCTGTCTCCCACATCAGACACTGAAGGCAGGATTTTCCTTCTTTCTTTTATCTTCCCAGCAGTGCCAGATGCATCGCTTTCCATGGGGTTGGATGAGTAAGCAGGTGAGCATGGAGGGGCTGGAGAGGCTGAGCCCAGGCGCTTCTCCTCCCTGGCTGTCTTGCCCTGGATGCCCTGTGTGTACTGTATCCAGCAGGGCATGGCCAATGCAGTTTCAGACTCACCTCCTGGATCCCTGAGTGTTGCAGCAGGGAGAAGCACTTACTAACGTGGCATCTGCAGGAGGAGCCTCCCCATCAGGCCAGGCCCAGGCACCCCCCTTCACTGATCACTCCAGTGGCCCTTCGTGAGCTCCTGGGCCAGATGAAGTGAGCACACAAGTGGCAGATAAGAATGTGACCAGCTGCTCAAGCTCAGAAGAGTGCATGTCCCCTTATCCTATTTATATACCCATTTCAAACCACAGAAACCAAAGATTAGTGCCCATGAGGCAAAGTCCTTTAAAAAATCAAAACTGGAGTCAAACATGAGGGCTGCTTCTGTTTCTCCTAAGTTACTGCAGAAGAACAGGTTAGCGTTCACTAAGTGCATGCTAGATATTAGCTACGATGACTATTTTTTTTTTAACTTTCTAATGCCTATGTTAGTGGTAAGTTATGAGAGAACATCACACACAGGGGACCGTGGGGGTGGAGGGCTAGGGGAGGGATAGCATTAGAAGAAATACCTAATGTAGATGATGGGTTGATGGATGCAGCAAACCACCATGGCGCACATATACCTATGTAACAAACCTGCATGTTCTGCACATGTATCCCAGAACTTAAAGTATAATAAAAAATTTTATATATATATATATGTATTTGTTTTTCAATTGTTATTTTAGATTTGGGGGATACATGTGCCAGTTTGTTACGTAGGTACATTGCATGATGCTGAAGCTTGGGGTAATTACCTTCCAACCCCCCAAGCAGCCGTGTCAACTTGGAGACCCTTGGGAGTCACAGTGAAGAAGGCCTGGATTTCAAGCCCTCTCCACCCCTCTCAAAGGCTTCCATCATTCCCCACAACACAGCCTCTTCTATTTCCCGCACTGTGAGGTTCTCTTGGCTGCAGTACCCGACTGTGAGTACACTATTCTCAGTACCTGGGCAATGGGGTCATGAAGGCTGACTCCAGCCTTGAGTTTTAAAGGACTTTTTGTTAGTTTGTTTCTTCCTTTATTGGCTTTTTTTCCTTTTTGTTATTTTTTAATTTTACTTTAAGTTCCGGGATACATGTGCAGAGTGTGCAGGTTTGTTACATAGATATACATGTGTCATGGTGGTTTGCTGCACCCATCAACCCGTCATCTAGGTTTTAAGGCCCACATGCATTAGGTATGTATTTGTCCTAATGCTCTCCCTCCCCTAGCCTCCCACCCCCCGACATTGTATGTTGTTCCCCTCCCTGTGTCCATGTGTTCTCATTGTCCAGTTCCCACTTATGAGTGAGAACATGCAGTGTTCGATTTTCTGTTCCTGTGTTAGTTTGCTGAAAATGATGCCTTCCAGCTTCATCCATGTCCCTGCAAAGGGCATGAACTCATTCTTTTTTATGGCTGCATAGTATTCCATGGTATATATATATATATATATCACATTTTCTTTCTCCAGTCTATCATTGATGGGCATTTGGGTTGGTTCCATGTCTTTGCTATTGTAAATAGTGCTGCAACAAACATATGTGTGCATATATGTCTTTAGAGCAGAATGATTGATATTCCTTTGGGCATATACCTCGTAATGGGATTGCTGGGTCAAATGGTATTTCTGGTTCTGAAATCAGATTGAGGAATCACCACACTGTCTTCCACAATGGTTGAACTAATTTACAATCCCACCAATGGTGTAAAAGCATTCCTATTTCTCCACAGCCTCGCCAGCACCTATTGTTTCCTGACATCATCGCCATTCTTACTGGTGTCAGATGGACTCTCATTGTGGTTTTGATTTGCATTTCTCTAATGATCAGTGGTGGTGAGCTTTCTTGATTTTTAAAGGACTTTTGCCTGTTGGGCACTAATCTTTGGTTTCTGTGTTAGAAATGGGTGTGTAAACAGGATAAGGGAGATGCGCTCTTCTGATCCCACCACCCAGGTACTGAGAATAGTACACAATGGTTACTTTTCCAACCCTTGCCCTGCGACAATGACTGCTTTTGAAATCATTTCTGCTCCTCCTCTGCTGAACCCTCAGAGGTGACCTCACTTGATCCTCAGAGCATCCCTGTGCGTAGGGCCAGGACTGGGGGAAAGCCATTGAAGTGCCCATATGCAGAATTTCAGGAGGTGCCCACTCTCGGGTGCCAACCCTGCATTTGCCTGAGCCTCACAGTGGGTGCCTCTTTGAATTTTGCACCATGGGAGTCCCGAGGGAAGCCCCCTCATCGCTATTTTATGGAGCAAGAAGCTGAGCTTCAGACCAAGAACTGTCAAGTTTCCCAGGCAGTACCCAGGGTTCCCAACTCCCACGGTTGAGTACCTGATGGCTGTCCATGGGGTCATTCTCTTTGGTCTCCCTTTGCTGGTGGTCCTCATGGGGGGCCGGAGGAGCGGGTTCCGAGGCTGGTGTGGTACCCGCACCACCCCTGCTGAGACACAGCACCTGGTCACTGGCACTGGGGAGGCTCTCGCCTGGCACCGAGGAACTGGAGCTGCTCTGAGAGCCACCGGCCTCCTCCTCCCTGGAGTCCAGGTCTGGCATACAGCCCTCCGGCTCTTCGAAATCCATTTCTTCGTTTTTTAGATCCTCCGGGTCTTCTGCATAAGCCTCCAAAACTGCAGCCAGGGGAACCTCATAGTGCGGGAAATAGAAGAGGTCGTGGGGAATGACGGAAACCTTTGAGAGGGGTGGGGAGGGCTTGAAATCCAGGCCTTCTTCGCTGTGACTCCCAAGGGTCTCCAAGCTGACACGGCTGCTTGGGGGGCTGGAAGATAATTCCTCGCCCACACCCTGGAGGTCATCGTCTTCTCCCTCTTCCTCATCATGAGGACGGGTGGACTTTCTCTTGGCCTTTTCATGCACCTCTGGCTTTTTATCCGCTAGCGTCTCTTCTGGGGCTGAAGGACAGCCTTCAGCTTCTTCTCCAGAGTCCTGGTGAGGTTCATGTTTGTCCGTCTTACCTTGAGGCTCTGGAGAATCTTTCTTTTTGTGAGCAGATTTAGTACTCCTTTTACCTCGTTTTTCAGCATGATTCTCAAAAGCCTCAGCATCCTCGTCAGGTTTTGTCTCATGAGGTGAAGGAACTTTGTTGAAAGCCTGGCTGGTAGAAGCAAAATCTACTAGGTCGCTGTTAAATTTCGAGGTTTTTAATGGGATAGCTTCAAAATAGTCTCCCTCCTCTAAAGCTTCTACGGTCATCAGGTTAACCTTGATCTCGAAGGAATCGGCCATCACAGTATCTTCTCCTGGGGGTGAAAGAGAGTGACTTTCTTCATCATGGCGGGCTGTACTCTCTAAAGCGCCATTATAGGGGGAAGACTGAGAATTATTGATCGTGCCCTCCGCCAAAAAAATGTCACCAGGGACCTTGTCAGAGGAGGATTCTGGAATCTTCAAGGACTCCTGTTTCTGTTCCTTCTCTGCAGCAACCTCAACTGCCAAGACATGTCCATCCTGCCTCAATGATTCCTTTGCCACTCTTGGGCTCCCTTCAAAGCAAAGGGACAGGTTCTTACTGAAGGAAGGATCCCTGTAGGTGTCAGTCTCAAAGTGAACTGTCTTCTTGATTGGCAAAGAGTTGGACCTCCCGCTCTCCTTTCTGGATGATAAAATGGAGGATTCTGGAGATGGCTCACTGATGTCGCTGGTCTTGCCTGGGCCCCCTTGCAGAACCTGGTCAATGATCTGGTGCATGAACTCAGTGGAGCTGTCTGACAGTGCATGGCTGGAAACACCATCCAGGCGGAATTCCTTCATGCTCTCAGGCTTGTCACAGACAAAGACTTTGGAGGGTGGTGGGTGGCTGCTTTCGTGGTTAACAGTGTAGGTACGCTCCCCATTTTCAGTCAGAACGAAGACTTTGCTCTCCTGTTCAGAAGGAGTTTCTTTGATGCGAACAAAAGTGGATTCAATAGGAACTTCTTTATCCGAATCGAAAATATCTTCCTGCAAAAAAAAAAAAAGAATAACAACAACAAAAAAACACAGAGCAACATGAATAAGAAGAGGGTTTAAGTACAACCCACATCCACCTTTCCCAAAACACAAACAGAAATGGAAAAAGCCACTTCAAACCAATGCAGTGTTCTAAGAGGTAATGGTTGTTCCTGCTGAAATATGAAAACATCAGATAAACAAGAAATATAAAATACCATGTTTTTTTTAAAAGCTATGGATGTAAGGAATCTCAATAAACCAAGCTCTAAAGAAGGACAATCCCTTCTAAAGTGAGCAGAGATTGTCAGCCACTTCACGCTTGAGGACCATGTTGCCTAGTCTAGGTATGGCTTTGGAGAAGAGCTAATCCACCGGAGATAAGGAAAGGTCAGCCAAATCTTTATTGATTGTGTGGACTGGTATGAGAGAGTGAATGTGGAAGGACTCCAAACACACAAGCAATTCTCTTCATCCACACAGGGAATTGTGCTGTGTAAGAGCCAGCTGGGGGCAGGGCTGAAAAGCAGAAAATGGCTTTGTGGTACAGAAGCACTTGACTCCCAATGCACTGATAGAGTGAACTGACTTCAGTCTCAAATCATTTAAAACCAGAGAGAAGAAATTAAATAAAACTGCAACACAGCTCCTATTGACTGATACGATCAAAACAACAGCTCCTCATCTTACGCACTTGCTTGGGAAAGCGCTATATTTCCTGAGGGAAAAAAAATGATGTCTACTTCAACCTCTATCATTCTTTGATATACCAAGTTGGACATAAAATAATCACAAGACATGAAGAGGCAGGAAAACGAAATCCACAATCAAGAGAAGAAATAATCACTAGATATAGACCCATATATGACCCAGAGATGGAATTCGCAAGCAAAGACTCTAGAATAACTAATCTATGCTACAAGCAATATAAAAAAACAAAAAATAGCTATTCAGGCTCAAAGAACACAATCTCAGATATAAAGCCTAAAGGAGGGAATAAACAGTACTGGAAACGGTAAATACATGGTCAATATAAAAGACTACTTCAAAGTTTTCTTAAAAAGCCTACTAGCTATTTAAAGCAAAAATAGCAAAGTATTGAGGATTAAAACATATGTAGAAGTAAATGACAATATAGTAGCAAAAACAATGGAGATGAAGTGAGTAAAATTATATATGTGATATATATAAAATATATAAAAATATGTAAAATATGCATTGTACTAGAAGTAGTATATTAAGGTTAAGCCGATGTATGTTAAAGATGAGTATTATAATCACTAGAACAGCTACTTAAAAGATAAAACAAGGTGACGTGGTTAAAAAACCAATAAAGGGGATAAATGTACACAAAAGAAATTCTGAATAATCCCCAAAAAGTTAAGAAGGAAGGACAATAGAGTATAGAACATATCAGACCAATGGAAAACAATAACCAAGATGCTAGATTAAACTCATATAAATGTATGAAAAACATACTGATTAAGTATAAATACAAGACCCAACTGTATACTGTTTATAAGAGACATACTTTAAATATAAGTATACATACACTGAAAGGAAAAAAATGGAAAAAGTATCACACAAGCACTAATTGTAAGAAAGCTGCTATGGCTATATTCATATCAGACAAAGCACACTTCGAGACAGAGGGAAATTTTATAAAAATAAAGCAATCAAGTCATCAGGAAGATATAATAAATTGTGTCTATGCACTTAACAGCATAGCATCAATATATATAAAACAAAAACTGGCAGAACTAAGAGGAGAAATACATTCACAATCATAGTTGGAGATTTTTTTTTAACATTTCTCTCCTACATTAATTGATCAGGAAAGCAGGAAAAATCAGTATAAATATAGAATATTAGAATAGCATATTAACATATTAACAGCATATTAAAGAATACAAGTATTCTTTAACTGCATAAGACACATTCTTTTCAAATGCATATGGCACATTTACCAAAAGAAACCATTTGCTGGGCCAGAAAGCTAGCAACAATGTGTGGTAAGTGGTCAGGGCCCAACAAATGTTTACTGAAATGAACTAACTCAGCAGAATTGTTAAGTTCACTGTGTGCCCGGATAAGCTGTGAATTCTCATGTGTATTCCCCTGTAGATGTAAACAGACTGTTCTGCAACGATGCACCATGTTCTAGGAACCAGGATGACTTTCTCCAGATATTATTTCTGGCTCAATCTTTTCCCATCTGCAGTTTCTGACCTCAGCATTGGGGAGATCTGTGTCAGATTTGCTCAATTTTAGCTGTGGCTTTGACTCAGTCAAATACCGTATGTTTTAGTTGATTTCAAACTCTGACTGCAGATTAAGAGCTCAGGGCGAATGAAAGCCCCAATGCCTTGTATTTCAAAATACAGTAACAGGCCAGGAAAATTGAATTGTAAGATAATAATCACTACTTTTTTTTTTTGCTTAAAACAACAAAAACGTGTTATGTTACGGTTCTGGACATCAGAAATCCAAAACAGGCCTCAATGGACTAAAATCAAGGTATTGGAAGGGCCAGATCCCTTTATTTTGATTTTGTTTAAATTTTTAATTGACAAATAATCATTATATATATTTATGGAGTATAATGTGATACTTTAAAACATGTATACGTTATAAAATGATCAAATCTGAGAACTCAATACATTCGTCTCCTCAAATATTTATCATTTCTTCGTAATGAAACCAGTTAAAATCTTCTCTCTTAGACATTTTGAAATACACAGTATATTATTCTTTCTTTTTTGTAGAGATGGGGTCTCGCTTTGTTGCCCAGGCTGGTCTTTAACTCCTGGGCTCGAGCAATCCTCCCGCTTCAGCCTCCCAAAATGTTGGGATTATAGATGTGAGTCACTGGTTACATTATGATTAACTATAGTCATCTTGCTGTGCAATAGAAACACCAGAACTGATTCCTCCTATGTAACCGTAACTTTATACCCATTGATCAAGTCACCATTATTTGCTAAACATCCACCATTGTTCCAGGCACAGTACTAGGTACTTCACGTAACTGTTTATTCTTCACATAACCCCGAAATGTGGGTCATAGTTCCATTTTACAGATGACACACATTCAATAGATACACATTCAATACAGATGTGTATCAGAGAGGTCAAGTCGCCAGCCTGAGATCACACAGCTCCAAGTGGAGAACTGGCAGTCCAGCCCAGGAAATCCTACTTCCAAAGCGCCCTGTAAGGCTTCCATATGTGGTGCAGGGACAGGCAGGCAGGAAACACACACACAGGTGGGGGCCAGGATGAAAGTCCTGGCATGGAGGATCCTGGGAAGCTCTTCTGTAAAAAACGGAGCCCCAGTTTCAGCTGCGTGTTATAAGGGAACCAAGAGCCTGAACTTTGGAAACACAGAGGGGCCAAACCCCAGCTCTGTGCGTGGTAGCTGAGTGACTATGGAGAGGTCTTTAAGCCTCTTTGAGATGCTTATTTTCGTTTATAAAAGAGGATTATGATACTGAGCCATGCTGGATTGCAGGAATGGCAGGCAGCCCAGAGACACAGGGGCAAGGCAGCCAGCTAGAAAAGCAGCTCCCCTCTCCTGCAAGCATCCTTTAACCCTTTATGCTTTCTTTTTTTCTGTCTGGTACTCATAACTACCCGAAGTTATGTTTTTGCTGACTTATAACTGTTTCCTTTACTAGAACAAACCTCCACAAGGCCAGGGACCTCAGCCATCTAGTTTATTTCTGAGTCCCCTAAGTCAGGGGCAAGGGTTCAGTCAATTACTAAAGGAGTCAAGAAAAGGCTGTCATTGCTGTCATTATTATCAGCTCGCGGTTGTGCATGGGCTGGGTGGGAGTTCAACAGGGCCAGGACAATTTCTAAAAGGTCTGATTCTGTGCCCAAAAAAACTCTGTCACCAAGTATAATCTGGAATTCTGAAAATAAAAAGTCAGGCTTTTCTTTTCTTTTGAGACAGAGTCTCGCTCTGTTGCCCAGGTTGGAGTGCAGTGGCGTGATCTTGGCTCACTGCAAGCTCTGCCTCTCCGTTTCACGCCGTTCTCCTGCCTCAGCCTCCCGAGTAGCTGGGATTACAGGCGCCTGCCACCACAGGCTAATTTTTTATATTTTTCGTAGAGACAGGGTTTCACCGTGTTAGCCAGGATGGTCTCAATCTCCTGACCTCATGATCCGCCCGCCTTGGCCTCCCAAAGTAAGGCAGGCTTTTCAATGATCATTGTCTTTTATGATTTTTAACACTGATAAAAATCTGGTAGATGCTAACATGTTCCATCTGACATCTAAAAAAATCAAGAAGCAGATCCATTTTATAAGTAAGCATCTTTTATAATCTTAATAAAGTTCGTCATGGGAAGAGGTTTGTGAGAGGCGTCACTTTCCATCCTGCTTTGAAACTTAACGCATGTTACATATAAATAGTTCCACCCTTATTTGAGGTTTTGCTTTCCGAGGTTTCAGTCACCCATGGTCAACTGTGGTCTGAAACTCTTAAATGGAAAATTCCAGAAATAAACAATTCCTAAGTTTCAAATGGCGTGCTGTTCTGAGTAGTGGGATGAAATCTCTCACCATCCTTCTCTGTCCTGCCTGGGACTTGACTCGTTCCTTTGTCTAGCGTATCTACGCCATCTATGCTACCCGTCCATCACTCACTCAGTAGCTGTCTGGATGATCAGAGATCAGCCGTCATGATATCAAAGAGCTTGTGTTCACATAACCCTTATTTTACTTAATAATGGCCCCAAACTGCAAAAGTAATGATGTTGGCCCATGGTTATAATTGTTCTATGTAATTATTAGTTGTTGTTAATCTCTTTCTGTGCCTAAGTTATTAAACTTTATCGTAGGTACATATGTACAGGAAAAAAATGAAAAAATGGTATATATAGGGTTCGGTACTATCCAAGGTTTCAAGCATTGACTGGGGGTCTTGAACTGTATCCCCTGCATATGAGGGGGGACTGCTATCATTCTGAAATTAAAATGTGGTAAGGCCGTGCTCAAGGGACTTGGGAGCAACTGGCGATTTTGACTGCTACTTATACAGAGCAACGCTGCCCACGTCCCTGCTTTGTCTGATGGCCAGCAGATGGAAATGTATGGTGTCTGAATTAAAGGTAAGAAAAGCAAACATACGGCTTCCAACTCTGGAAAACGTTCTAGAAACTGTGCCACGTAAGTCACGATAGACTGCTCATCCGGTGTGTCAACCATGATGTCTGTCGAGAGAGACACAGGAATTAGCAGGAGATACAAACACATACGCTTTCAATAGTATTCCCGGATGCCTGATGGGGAAGAATCCCAAAGATCATTGAGGGTTTTTTCTCTTTATTTGCCACTTGAGGAACTTTAGGCTCAAAGAGGGTGAATCACTTGACTGAAATCTCACAGCTGGCTGAAGAACAGAGAAGCAAGGATATAGAATCTAGGGCTTCTTATTCCCCAAATTCTGTCCCTTCTTCCTTGCTGTTTTAGTCCCTTCCACAGCGAGCAGCCAGCTCACTGCTGGTTCCATGGGCAAGGATGGTGAACCAGGCAGCCTACATATGGTACAGGGAGTCCTACGTTAGCCTAACCCACGTGGAAGGCAACTTCACAGAGACAGCCAAACCATTTAAACAGGCATGGACTCTTCCCTTGTGTCATTCTGCTAATGAAACCTGGTCCTTAAGGAAATAATCTGGGATGCACATCGAGCTTTATTTAGTAAGATGTTCACTGTGATGTTGTTACATATAAAAGGAAATATTTCAGAAACAACCTAAATGTCTACCAATAGTGAAAGAGCTAAGTACTTTTTTTTTTTTTGGAGACAGTCTGGCTCTGTCACCCAGGCCAGAGTGCAATGGCACGATCTCGGCTCACTGCAACCTCTGCCTCCTGGGCTCAAGCGATTCTCCTGCCTCAGCCTCCTGAGTAGCTGGGATTACATTACAAACTGTGCTACCACGCCCAGCTAATTTTTGTATTATTAGTAGAGATGGGGTTTCACTATGTTGGCCAGGCTGGTCTCGAACTCCTGACCTCAGGTGATCCACCCGCCTGGGCCTCCCAAAGTGCTGGGATTACATGCATGAGCCACCACACCTGGCCACTAAGTACATTTTACTATGCCCACTAGATGAACTATTATGCAGCCAATAAAAATATATAATAATACATTGTAGCAGTATGTAAAATACTTATGACATAATGTTAAATAAAAAAGCACAAAATTATACATACAGTAAATGATACCAATTATGTAAAAATACAATTAGAGGCATATAAAATATTGGAAAAATATCCATATGATCTGAGTGGTAGAAATACAGGAGACAAAATCTTCATTAGATTTTTCTGTATTTTCCAGATTTTCTACATGGGACGGCAAGTGGTACATTTGTAAAAAAAATTATTAGAAAGAAAGAGAGAACCACTGCTACCTTCTGGCTCCAGGAGCCTGGGGATGTGCAGGGCATCCTGTGCGATGCTGAAGGCCTTCTCCAGATTTTCTCGTGTGGAATTTTCCAGGGCCTGTTTCATGTCCACTAGGCTGGGGTCAATGGCCTTAATCACGGCCAGGAAAGCCAGCCCACTCCTCCAGCTGCCCGCAAAGTCCTGCACCGCCACGCCATACCTGAAGGAGACACAGCAGCGGCAGCCGGGTTGCTGGTTAGGAAACAGACTCAAAGGAACAAGGTCAGCATGCTGCAGCCTCGTGGGTTTCTGAGTGGGGCAGAGCTGCCGACCTCGCCAGGTGAAGATGCCTTGGTCCCTGAGCGTGGGAGAGCTGCCCTGAACCACTCACATTTCCATTTCCAGCCAAATGGAGTAGGACGGTATACATCAAACAAAGAGGCGAAACAGGACCCTGGGTTCCCCAATTCCCAGACACATAAAGGACCAACTGTATAGACCAGTCCTTGTATCAGTGACATTGAAAACATAACAAGGACGTGCTGGGCCATAAAAATGGAACCGGAAAGACACAAGTTTGTGCCTCAGCTGTCCACTGTGCTCCTAGTGCCATGGCCTTAGGCATGTCAACGAGCTCTCTGAGCCTCAAACTCCACACAGTGAACTTGCTGGGGCTTTTGTGGGGAAAGTCAAGCCTGGCCCCAGAAGAATGGCCATGTCATAGGGTCAACCTAATATGCAACGTTGGGAGCCCAAGAAAGCCACTCACTAAATGACAGCTACTATTATCAGTAACAGAAATAAAAGCATCATTGTAAAAGTGGGGGCAGAGAGCTTTCATTCTATTTTGTAAAATGGAGGCTGCCTCAATTTTTAAAAGTAAAAGTGAAGGACAAAAGAGGAGAGAATCCTGCCAGGCACTAATTTCCTTTAGAATCCATCCTGTGACTCCACCAATCCCTCAACCGTGGTCAATGAACTCTCTTAAAACAACAACAACAACAACAACAACAAAACCCAAGCACCTTTTTATTTAGAAATTATTTAAGACCTAAAAGAAATTGCAAACACAGTACAGAGAGTCCCTGTTCTTTCCCCAGCTTCCTCCAGTGACAGCATCTTATGCTACCAGGGTATGTTATCCAAACCAGAACACCAACATTGGTCCAAGATAATTATTAATTAAGCTATAGACTGCATCTGAATTTCACATTTTCACAGGCGTCAATTTTCATGGGGGTGGTGTACAGATTAATGTAACCACCACAACAGAGAAACAGAACTGTCCCATCACCCCAAGACACTTCCTCTCCCTTACAGTCACATCCTCCTTCTACCCTAACCCCTGACAATGAACCCTTTTTTGGTTGGTTTGTATGTAAACAACATTTAATGGTGGTTCACATTTGTCAGTTTCAATCTACCCCGTGTGATCTCTCCATCAAAACTCTAAAGGTCCAGCCCCTCTTCCCTCTTTTATTTCCACACACAGGGGAGAAAGGAATCAATATTTGTGACGCACTTAATATGGGCTGGCACTGTGCAAGGTGCTCTTTCATGGATTTCATGGATTTTGCCTAATTGTCCTGGAAGGCAGTGAGTGATAGGATACCATTTGCAGTTGGGGCTTGGAAAAGTAAATGATTTACCAGGATCTCTACCAGTCTGCATGTTGAGGAGCTGGGGCAGCCCCAAGCTGGTTAGGTTTCCACCACACTGGTCTGGCATGTGTGCCCATGGCCCGGGGGCTGTGGGCTGCTACTGGTAAAAAGGCCTGATACAAAACTGCTCAAATCACTCTGCCGCTGGCGTGGGGTGACTCAGGGCCGGAACTTGGCTCCAGTTCCCGTCTCGATTTTGGAAGATCCGACCTAACTTTGAGTATGTTACAGCCTTTATTATTACTATCTTTAAAGTAGGTACAGACTCTGGAAGACACCCTGAAGCTTAAATGCATACAAGTCATTAGAATCCAAGAGACATGCCCGTTTTGGGAGACAACATGATGAAAGTCCCTCTGATCTGTATTCAAATCTTCTCATCAGCTTTATGCAAACCAAACATTCTGCCAACTGCATTTTGTGTGTACTGCAAAACCCAAAAAATGCAGTGCTTCCTGTTCTGATATTTATTTATTTATTTATTTTTGAGATGCAGTCTCGCTCTGTCGCCCAGGCTGGAGTGCAGTGGCGCAATCTCAGCTCACCGCAAGCTCTGCCTGCCGGGTTCACGCCATTCTCCTGCCTCAGCCTCCCGAGTAGCTAGGACTACAGGCGCCCGTCACCACGCCTGGCTAATTTTTTGTATTTTTAGTAGAGACAGGGTTTCACCGTGTTAGCTAGCATGGTCTTGATCTCCTGACCTGGTGATACACTCGCCTCAGCCTCCCAAAGTGCTAGGATTACAGGTGTGAGCCACCGCGACTGTCCCCCTTGTTCTGATATTCTATATGAAGCAATGGGCACATACATAACTGGCACCTTAATACATACTAGTTCTCCTTTCTTCTGCCTGAAAGCAGCTAGTTAAATGAAGTGGCGCGGGGAGAGGGGCTGCAGCTTACTTTCTCGTTTTCCTCTGCACCCACGCCAACAGGGCTTTGATGGCCTTCCTCTGGTCTTTCACGGATATTGCCACGCTCCTCTCTGCAGTGGGTGTGGGTGGGAAGGATGAGTCTGAGTCTGTGCCTCCTGAGCCAGGGGACAAGCTGGAAGATGGAGAGTTTCTGCTGAGGTTGCCTGTGAGCTCCTTAATCTGGAAGGAAAATGGCATTTCAGACCCCAGCAACAGACCCACCCTCTCAGCAACAGACCCACCTTGTCTGGCGGGTGGCCACATGAACCGTGGCTGGAGGGAACCGCTCATGCAGAATTGGTTCTCTGAATGCCGAGAAACCTTTTCTGATGGCTGTGGCAGGGGACAGGCAGTACTTGCAATGGCGTGTCCATTTCCTGTGGCTTGTGGTGCCCGTAATTACACTATACAGGGAGGACTATCTTTTCCTGGAGTCTTTCCAGCTCCAGCCAGCACTTCGTACCAGGTCTTCCTGACTCAACTCGACCACCCCTTTCCTCTCACTGCCCATCACTCCCAGACTTCACGGAGCTCTTTCAAGCCCCACTGCCTCTGCTCATCCTGCCCTTGCTGCCTCCATGTCCCTTCCCTCCGTGAACTCCTCTCATGAGGACTTCTGTAAGATATGCCGAACCCTAGGCTCTACACCAGAGCTGTTAGAATCAGAATCTGTTTCAATACCACCCTTAGGCAATTCACACACACAGTAGGTTAAGTCTAACTTAGTTTGAAGGATGAGTAGGATATCTAGCGTACTCCTACTCATCCTTCAAAACCCAGCTCTGGTGTCACTTCTTCCAGGAAGTTTTCCTTACTCCACTCCCCCATCTGAGCTAGCTGGCCCTGCTGGGAGCTCTAGCATCACCTTCTGCCATATAGGATTGACTCGTCTGTGATCCCAAAGGGTCCTGAGGGCAGGGCCTTTTACTTTCAGCACCTGGCACCTTGGAGAAACTCAATAGACATTTGTTAAATAAATAAATGAAGCCCTAGGGCGGTGGATTTAAGTTCTTGACTTTTACTACATCTTCAGGATGTTTCCAGAATCTCTGAGGAAGTTTAATAACAGATAGCAGTAATTGAAGCACACATATAACACATAGTGGCTGCTTATCCTTCTTCTTCTTCTTTCTTCTTCTTCTTTTTTTTTGAGACAGGATCTCATCCTGTTGCCCAGGCTGGAGTGCAGTGGCATGATCATGTCTCACTACAGCCTTGAACTCTCAGGCTCAAGTAATCCTCCAAACTCAGCCTTCCAAGTAGCTGGGACTACAGGCACACACCACTATGCCTGGCTAATTTTATTTTTTGTAGAGATGGGGTCTTGCTCTGTTTCCAGGGCTGATGTTGAACTCCTGGGCTCAAGTGACCCTGCCGCCATGGCCTCCCAAAGTTCTGGGATTGCAGGCGTGAGCCACTGTGCCTGGCCCACATGGCTTCTTTTGATGCTCACCACCTATTATGACCACTGCTCCCATTTCACAGACACAGAAACTGAGGCTCAGAGAGAGATAGTCTTTTTTTTTTTTTTAAGTTCAGGGTTCACCCAGAACAGGAACTACTGTCTCCAGACCTTGTTTGTGCTCATGCTTCTCTGAAATGCAGGCATTGAGCCAAAATCTCAAGCAAATCATGCCCAGGTGGATCACTTTCACTCTTGGGAGGGTAATCGAACAGTGAACCACGAGTTTCTATTCCAAAAGCGAGTGGGCTCTAGAAAATGAGATACCAGCTCTCTCCTGACAGGGAAATGAACTTCAGCACAGTTTAAAATGTTATCTTCTGATGGGTTAATGGGTGCAGCAAACCACCATGGCATGTGTATACCTATGTAGCAAACCTGCACGTTCTGCACATGTACCCCGGAACTTAAAGTTTAATAATAAAAAATAAAATAAAAATAAAATGTCATCTTCTTACTCCAATCACAGATCCAGTTCTTCCTCTATAAAATCTGCATTTCCAATTAGAGGCTGAAGTTGCAAAGAACGGAACAATAAGGTCTCGCCTGTTATTCTTCTTCCTCAGGCATCTTTAGTACAAGCTCTTTAATCATCTCTAAGGAACACTGAGTGATTTCAGCAAAGTAACTCTACCAAGTTCCATTTTTGGTCAGGAGTATTTCCCTAGTTCTTGCAACACTTTAGAACAAAGTCATTTTTTGAAGTAAATATTTAACTCTTCCAGTCCCAAGAGGACGGCTATTCTCTTCTAGAGAACTCACACCACTTTTAAAATCACAGGGACTGTAGCAACCAGATTCTTCTGGTGCTTTTTCAGTGAGTAGAAAAGATAAAATCCGCCATAAACTAAGCCTCACTGCCTCCTTCGATCTGGCCACTCTCTTCTGCGGCGCTCAGCAGACACAAGATCATGATTGTGTGTTTTGGAAAGGAAATGATCTTACCTGGAAGAAGAGGATTATGTTCCATATCAGCCCAAGAACCAAAGAAGGGTTGCCATCTGCTATTTCTGCTGCATCGATGCTAACCAGTTTTACCTGGAGGGAAGCAATTTATGAACTTAAAGGGGGGTGTCCAGGGAGGATAACACATGTTATTTTCTGGTTCTCTCTGTGTGTGTATGTGTTTGCATAAGCCTGTTTTTCTTACTTACCCTGCCATTCTCAAGGACACTCAGCGTGCAAAAGTGTATTTAATTAACACATACATAGCACTTACCATGTGTAGCCTCTATTCTAAACTCCTTACAAATATTAACTCATTTTATACTCACAATAAACCTATGATGTAGGTGTATTAGTCCGTTCTCACATTGCTGCAAAGATACTACCTGAGACTGAGTAATTTATCAAAGGAAAGGGGTTTAATGGACTCCCCACATGGTTGGAGAAGCCTCACACTCATGGCAGAGGGTGAAGGGGAAGCAAGACACATCTCACATGGCAGCAGGCAAGAGAACGTGTGCAAGGGAACTCCCCTTTATAAAACCATCAGATCTCAGGAGGCTTATTCACTATTATGAGAAGAGCATGGGGAAGACCTACTCCCCTGATTCATTGACCTCCCACCAGGTCTCTCCCACGACACTAGGGAATTATGGGAGCTACAATTCAAGGTGAAATTTGGGTGGGGACACAGCCAGACCATATCAGCAGGTACTTCTATTGTCCCTCCAGTTCAGGAGAGGGAATTTCAGAGAGGTGAAATATAACATGCCCAGCATCACATAGCCGGTAAGGTTTCAGTCATTCTTTTCCAAGAGAGACGGAAAATGTCCGGTAGGTCTGTCTGCTACACAAACACCACCACACCTGGATTTAGCATGTCCTTGGAACAAATACAGAGCACCGACATGCGCAACCATGGATGGTGGGTGGGTGAGTTGACTGCTAATTAGAAATAGTATACTGGGATAAGGTTTATACCCAGGGTTTCTGCACCATTAGAAAATATCCCACTGATGAGTTGAAATGTGCCTCTTGCAGAAACACTTAGCTAAGGTCTTATCTATGTATTTAACTGTGTTCTGACCACAGAATGATGCTCTTGGTAAATCCCTGAGGCCAACCTGGCATCTGGACCAGCAGCATCTGCATCACTTGGGACCCCTGTGTTAGAAATGCTCATTCTCCCCTATGCCTACAGAATCAAAAACTCTGTGGGTGGGCCCAGAAATCTGCATTTCAACAAGTGCACCAGGTGATTCCAGCGCATGTTCGGGTTTGAGGATCACTGCCCTAAGTCATCAGTTCATTCCACAAACAAAATCTAAGCACTGGACACAGATTGGGGCTCTGCAGATCTCTCTAAAAAGGGCCAGAGAGTAAATATTTAAGCCTTTGCAGGCAACACTGGTGTTTGTCACATTTTTTTCTTCTTTCTTAACAACGTTAATAAAGCAAAAGTCATTCTTCAGGAGAAAGAGAGGAGAAATAAAGTCAAGATACACTATCAGGTCCACACTGCAAAATTCTGCCTGGCAGACTGGGGAAAGAGAACCTGAAAAAAGCATCTCATACAAAACCTTTTTCTTTTTCCTCTGTTTCTTTTCTCTCTCCCTTCCCCTCAAGGCTTTTTAACCTGTCTGACATGGGTCTCTGATCCTGAGTTCACCACGGGTTTCCGACAACACCAATCAGTTAGGCCTGGGCTTGCCTAATCGAGGGAGAGTTCTGGGTTCCCTAGCTGCAGCCTGTTTTGAGGGCAGATGCCAAGAATATAATTCAGACAACACAGGCTCATCACTGGCAGGTCGGAGGCCAGGAAGGAAGCTGTCAATACTGTGAATAACACAGTCGATCAAATTCAGGTTCAATACTGCGTCCACATTCATCACGAGCACACGTCCTGCATGATGGATCACCCATGAGAACTCGCCTGCTCCTCTCCTAAGCCTCTGCTCTGGCAGCTCCTTCGGTTTCTGTGGCTTTACTGAGCACATTCCAGTCCAGGGGAACCAAAGCTGCTAGTCAACTTGATCACCCCCACCTTCCCTTTCACCTGGGGGAAGCCCAAATGGCAAGTGACAGCTGTGGCCCTCTAAGCTGAGGTTTCAACGTGAGGAGACAGAGCTGCCTCATAGGGATGCCATAAACACTATGGTGCACCATCCCAACAGGGGAAGGGCAGGGCTGAGCAGGGAGCCGCTGGCTCTTGGGAGGGCCATTTAGAGAACAAAACCCTCCTGAGGTGCCTAGTTCCCTCAGAGAACTGGGCTGAGGGAAAGTAGTGATTGCAGGCGGTACAAGGTCCCAAAGAGCAGATATTTCCAAAGACCGTGGCTTGGGTGCCCGGCCGCCATTTTGTTTTTGGTGGTGAATAAAAAAGTTAACAGCCAGACTTCAGTTAAGAGCTTCAGGGACAATGTTTTCCTCCTCTTGTTCCTCCTAACTCAGCTGGTTTTGCCAGACTGAAAACAAGCGGGACCAACTGGTTTATGGAAATATCCCCTCTCCCTCCTCGGCTGGGAGAAGGTGGTATCACACCTAGTTATCTCATGTCGGGTGATAACTCAGGGGCCTGCTGAGTGATAACGGACATCCCGAGAATGGAGAGTGCTTTTCACAGGTCAGTTCCTTTAGTGTTCACAATATGCCCATTTTAGAGATGAGGAAGCTCAGGCTTAGAGAAGCTGAATAACTTGCAAGTCACAGAGCTGGTCCTGCGGGGCAGCCCATCTCTGACATGGGCATAAAACTGTGCTCTGAGGCACGATGAAACGTCCTCCCTGCTGAGCCGCCCCTACCCGCGTGTGAAGAACGTGGAGCAGAGTTCCAGGCACAGAAAAAGCTCATCGGAGTCGAGAAAGTTACATCAAGATAGGGAGAATTTTATACTTTTTTTTCCCCCTGGCTCATGTAGCCCCCCTCTTCCCCTTTTTCTCCCATATTCTAAGTTCCAAGAGAAAGTTTTACACTCGGACATGCTCACCATACTCTTATTCAAGGGAATGAAGGAGAAAACGTGAACTAAGTTATACATATCTGAGAGCCAGTCAGCTGCTCTGCCTTTCTGCGACTGAACGTCCATCAGAGTTTTAATCCTGATGGCTGTAAAGTGGGTGGGCACGGAGTTAGGGACTGCGTTCCCAACGGAGGGGTCATCTGAGTGATTTCTGTGAAATTTAAGCTTAGTTTAATCTGACCATTTTAGATCAGTCCCCATCTCACGCTTCTCTTGCGACCAGCACTGAACTTCAAATGACATCCTTTTCCTAACAGGACAAGCTTGTGTTAGCAGGATGTGCTTCAAACACTTACATTGCTATCTTCCAAAAACTTAAGTGCTTTCGCTATGTTGTTCAACCGAAAAATGCGATGCGACGAGGATTTGTATTCATGCAGCTATAAAACAGAACAGAACAAAACAAGTACATTAAACCCACGCAGGCACTTCACAATGCCCAGCGGTGCCGCTCGGTGTGCTTTGCTTTTTTCACATCAATTTCAAGAAAAAGCTCACAACTAAAACCCACCTGGAATGCATCCAAACTCACACAGGTGCCTCTCAGGACGTACAAATGGGACATCAGAGAGCTCTCAAAGGTCGGCCTTATTTACAGTACTTGGGATTTAACTCACTGAAGTTGGTGAGTTAGGGGGAACCGAAGTGGGTCAACAAGGGACAAATTTGTCAATTTTTTCTCTGGGACCCAGCTCCTGGCTTGTTAGATTCCTCCCTTCTCCTGAGACCCTCGTTAATATGTTCGCTTCCCTGAACTGCTGCTTGTGTTAGGACAGGGAGCATTGGCTGCCAGCATCACTGCTCAGCTGCTAAATCATCCAGCCAAGGTCCTCCCTAGTGGCGGCAGATGTTTCTGTTTTCTAGCCAAGAGTTTTGTGGACAGTTATCCCAGGTCGAAAGAGACAAAGAGGCAGAGAGACGTCTGCGGAAGCTAAAACTCTGACAACATTAGCTCTACATACCAGGAATGCCATCACAGCCAACTCACCCTGAACTGAACCGCATCGATGCTCCTCCAGGTTGGGGGAAGACCAGTGGGTCAGTTCTACCAGGTGTGAAGTGCCAGGCCACACTCATGGGGAAGTGGAGGACTGTTCTTGGCTGGGCTCCAGAATCAAAGACTCCCCGTGGAGGCCCACCAAGGACACAGTAGCTGGTGACCAGGGCTCTGGCAATAAAGTGGGGAGCCTGCGTTGCTGGGAGCATAAACAAGGGACTAGAAGGTACTTTTTCAGGAAGTCCTTTGGGGACCCTGCTCATGGCGAGACCCTCTAAGAAACCAAATACTGTGGAGAATTCATCACATAATATTGCATAGCCCTCTGCGGGCGCTGCTAATAGGTATCTTGTGTTTTGCCACTGGGAAAGCAAAGGTGGGAGGGTTAAGAGGTCTGATAAGATACCAGCTACATTGTATCTGAGAAGAGAAGCAAGGACTCTTGACTTTAGACCTACAGTTAAGGACAGACCCAGGACATTCTGTGCTGGCTGAGCTATGGTTTGGTAGAGTCGTGACCCCATTGCTGCACCTTTGTGTTAGGTACAATGGGTTGCCAAGGCCAAATCAAACACTGGACTCTGGAACAGGCTTTCTCAACCCTGACACTTCTACCATTCTGGGCTGGATCAGTTTGCCCCCTCATGGAACATTTCATCACGTCTGGGAGCTTGTTAGCTGTCACACACGGGGGTGATACTGTTATTTAGCAGTTAGATACTAAATGTCCTGTAATGCACAGGACATCTTCCCACAACAAGAAACTATCTGACCCAAATGCCAACAGTGCCAAGGCTGAGAAACTCTGCTGTCTGTGAAGAGAACAAGGGCCAATCTGCACACAGCAGACGGATGCAACACGGAGAAGTCTGGCTAATGTCCAAAGTGGAATGAACGTCAAGACCAGCTGGCTCAACTTCAATCATACTTAAAAGAATGTTCTAGAAGCCAGCAGTTCCAGTTTTAGCCTTAGGGTGGTTGATAAAAGGCCTTTTTCTTCCAATTTTTCCAATTCTTAGCGATCATTCTAGTTTATATAATGGCTGGCTGGCTAAATTTTAACTGTTTAGTTCTAAACTTAAGCCTTAACAGACTCACCGAAAACACTAGCCATTTATTTTCTAAAATACATTGACTTAAAAAAAAAGTACTAGTTCGTTCCACATGATTATATGGCTCATAGGCACTAATAAAAAGAGTCACCGCTTCAGAGTTTCTTAGTGTAGGGTATGTCCAGGTATTTGTGTTGAAAAGAAAACCTCAACGGCGTTTTCCTTTGCATTTTCTTTCTTTCCGACCCTGCTGTAACATACGTACCAGATTCCGCCCAGACAGGACTTCTAACAAAGCCATTAGGATTTTGCCATCTTGTATATCGACGAATAAATCTTTAACTTCTAGAGGTGGGTTGCACTTTGAAAGAGAAGGGAAGAAAGTAGCCAATTAGCAACCTGTGTAATCCACAAAGCTATTTTCAGAGATGCAGCTTTCTGCTCAAGAAAAAACTTCCAAACATCCAGCTCTGTTTACAGGTAGAAACGCCCATCCAAGGAGGTAGCAGGCCCATCCCCCTGGAGGTGACACCCGGGCAGCAGGGCACAGCCACTTGGCAGGAAGGCTGCAGAGAAGATTCACCAACAGGCGGTTGATCAAACAAGTGACCCTTGGGGGCCCTTCAAACCGAAGATCTCAGATCCCAAGTTTAGATCACATCCACATGCTTAAGGGCAGAAAGAAATGGCATATCTTGACTATATCCTTCTGTAGAATAAAACAATTCTATGAGGGCTCATGTGAAGTTACCTAGTGCAAGCCTTTCATTTTATTTTATTTCTTCATTTGTTTTTTTGTTTTTTTGTTTTTTTTGAGACAGAGTCACGCTCTGTCACCCAGGCTTAGGAGTGCAGTGGCACAATTTCGGCTCACTGCAACCTCCGCCTCCCGGGTTCAGGTGATTCTTCTGCCTCAGCCTCCCGAGGAGCTGGGATTACAGGCACCTGCCACCATGCCCAGCTAATTTTTGTAGTTTTAGTAGAGACGGGGTTTCACCGTGTTGGCCAGGCTGGTCTCCAATTCCTGACCTCAGGTGATCTGCCCACCTCGGCCTCCCAAAGTGCTGGGATTACAGGCATGAGCCACTGCGCCTGGCCGCCCTTCACTTTAGACTGGGAAAAACAGGTTCAAAGAGGATGAGTGATAGTTGCAGCATTTGGTCAAGCTAGCTGTTCGGTATTGTCCTGTTTCCTGTATCCAGCCACAAGGGCCGAACGCTAGCGCACCCTAGATCCACATGGCAATGACAAGACCCTGGCCAGTTACTCTCCAGGCTTCAGTCCGGTGTCAGTCGGGCTCCTCCATCTCCAAGACTGCTTTAGTCTTCAAAAGTGTGCCCTCCTGAGGTGCCCATCATCACTTCACCAAGATTTAGACCAAATTTGGTGGTGGTGGGACCCTTACCGGGGAAGCCACGAAAGGGGGCTGGTGTGTGAGAACTGGCTAGGAGGGCACGCGGCTGGCAGGATGCAGCTGACCTGCTGAATGGCTCGATGGTTGGGTGAAGGGAAGGATCCTTTCCTCACCCCACATGTGTAGGCTCACTAGGAACTCAAAGGTTCAGAGGTCGATTTACATGTCCATATGTATGTGTATGTGTATTTATATGTTTAGGTACAAAAGCAATTCAAGCTCATTATTACACATCAAACTCATTAAAGTTGTACCAAAAAAAAAAAAAGGCTGCATGCTACTCCTCTATTCCTCCACAAAATCCAACTTCCTGAGATACATCAACATTGCACCTCTCACATGAGCCAATGAGAAGCAAGGCCATTAGACACACCTGCGTTCAAAGCCAAGTTCTACCTTGACAGCAACTTGGCCTTGGGCATGTTCTTTAACCTCCCAGGGCCTAACCTGACCTTGCACACTTGCACAAAGGCAGTGTATTTGTCTGCAATGTCAGGTGAGGAATCTGGCCCTCGTCAGAGGGCTGGGCTGGAATGCAGTGAGATCATGCAGGTAGGGAGCCTGGCACAGCACCCACCTGCCCAGCCCAGTACCACCTGCTGACTGCTAAGTGGCTTCCTGCCTGCAGAGCCTTGGATGCCCTCCTCAGGAAGACATTTCATTCAGAAGGCATATGCCTTGTGGCCATCAGTGGAAGGGAGATGTCCTCAGTTGGCGGCCCCTTCGTAGTGAACGGCTCTTGAAACACCTTCTCTCTGCCCCACTCGCTCACTTTCTGGGTTCCCTGGGTCAGTAAACAGAAGCCCCAGCCTCAGTTCCCACAGACTACTTCCTTCTCCCTAAGGGAAAATGCAATTCCCTAAACAGGATCTGGAGTGTGGAGGGGGGCCTGGGAAGGAAACAGACAGAAGCCCCCTGGGCTTTCCTCTCTGGGCCTAGACCTGGAAGGGGTCTGCTGTCCAGGTGGTATCCACTAGGAGCTTGGCTGGACATGGCCGAAAGAACTAGCTGGAACTTGTGGGTTAGATGCTCCAGTGCGAGGATTTGCAAACTCTGTTCCCTGGAACCTTAGACTTTAGCAGAGCAGCTTTAGGATATCCTATAGGAGAGAGGGGGGTGGAGGAGGCAGCTGATCCCATTGCACCCGCTTTAATCAGAGAGGCTCAGCTCTTACTGGCCTGTACAGGCAGCCCTCAGTATCTATACGGGATCGGTTCCAGGACTTCCCTCGGGTACCAACATCTGCAGATGCTCAAGTCCCTGATATATAAGTATTTGTATACAATCTATGCAAATCCTCCCGTATACTTAAAATCACCTCTAGATTACTTATAATACCTAATTCGGTGTAAATGTGATGTAAATAGTTGTTATACTCTATTGTTTAGGGAGTAATGACAAGAAGCAACTCTGTACATATGCAGTACAGATGCAGTTTTTTTTTCTGAATATTATTTATCTGCTGTTGGTTGAACCCACAGATGTGGAACCCCGGAGGAGGAAGGATGACTACATTTACGGTTCTAGGTAACGCTTTGCTTGAAGAAAGATTTCTACTGTCTAAACAAGCTTGATAATAACTCCTCTTAATTGTAACAGAATCTCTGGGAGCAGGGTCCAGAAACTTGCATTTTTCTTCTTCTTCTAGAATCTTCTTCTTTTTTTTAAATTTTTTTTCTAGATGATATCTTGCTCTGTGGCCCAGGCTGGAGTGCAGTGGCATGATTACAGTTCACTGCAGTCTCAAACCCTCAGCTCAAGTGATCTTCCCATCCCAGCCTCTTAAATAGTTGGAACTACAGGCATGTGCCATCACATCTGGTTAATTTTTAAAACCCTTTGTAGAGATGGAGTCTCTCTGTGTTGCCCAGCCTGGTCTCAAATTCCTGGGCTCATGTGATATCCTCCTGCCTTGGCCTCCCAAAGGGCTGGGATTACAAGCATGAGCCACCATGCCCAGCCGAAACCTGATTCTTAATAAGCTCCCACCCCAGCATGAATTCCCTGTTTAGCTTTTTGTACTGGGGGCTTTGGCAAGGTTAGAGCAGCTGGTCTGGGTGCTCTCTCTGCTCCTGGGTACAGGGGAAGGCTAGGCACTCACATGGGAGACAGGATTAATGGGGCGTGGAGCTCCTGAGGCCAATGGGAGGGTGGTAGCCATAACCAGCCAGAGACCCAGGGGCAGGAAACAGTGGAACTGTGGCCCAGCCACCCTTTCCCTGTGGGAAAGCCTCCTTCCTGTGGCAGCCATGGAGGGCCTGTGTTTCATTTTTTATGGAGGAAGGTGGCATTTCCTTACCCTTTATAGGAGTCCCTTTACCCCCAGTTAGTCAAAATACAGGGCAATTCCACCCGCAGGTGCATAGAAAAAGGCTTCGCTTCAAGGGCAACAGTGACTTTGAACCAAAAGGCAAATTATTTTCTTTGCAAACTGCTGCAGCTCCTTGGGCACATTCCACCCTGAGCATGACGGGATCAGGTTACTGAGGCTCTTACGGAAATGTTATTCCTGCTAATGCGAGGCAGAAAACGCGAGACCCGAACAAAATACCCCCTGATAAATGGACTAACAAAATTTCCAGTTACCAGCCCTGGCCGTGGCCAAGCCTTACTTCTGAGTTAAACCTGAAGAATAATTTCCATTGACAGTTCCTGTAAGAGCCTCAGCAGCAGCAGCAAACAAGGCCTTGGCCGGAGTCCATCCTGTGAGATGGCAGGGGGAGAAATTGAACCCGCGCCAGGGAAAACACTCCTTGGGCCCCAAACGCTCCGTGGGCTTCATGAGATCGGTATGGCCGAATAAACAGCACCCCCAGGGCTTTCTTCATGATCTAACTCCTTCGGTAAATTAAGGAATTTTTCCAGAAGCCAGAGACTCAGTAAATATTTCTGACAGCCTTCAAATTGCAGTTAAGCCCAATTCACCAAGGAGTTCCTGGGTTTCCTTTACATGAAAGGTTGTTCTTGAAAGTCTCAAGGTTGGAAACATGGCTGTTAATTTTGCCCTGTTTATTAGACATCAGTTTCAGGTGCTATCTGATTTATCTTCAGAGTGGGCGCTACCCACCTGCCCTGAGACAGGGGCACGAACTTGGCCAGGGAGAAAATCCTTGATATGATAAATGCGAACAGAGGTTCATTTGGGACGGGGAGTGGGTGCGGGGATATTCGCCACATGACCCTCTGTACTTTTCTGTATTTATTTATTTTAATTTTAAAAAAAGAAAGAAAGAAATGCTCCATGGCTCTAGTGTGTCCCCCAGCAGGAATTTCCAGCTACCCTGACACACATCAGGCATTAATTTAAGAGCTCAGTGATCTCAGGTTTGGGGACCGGTTTTCCTTTTTCTCCCCCCCAAAATAACACTTCACTTCAGCAGCATTGCCGAAAATGTGCCAATAATCAAAACAACTGGCAGATGATTCATAAGCTTCATGTGCGACACAATCTTTCACCTGTAGAGTTCAGGATGCTCCAGGTGAAGTGGTGGCACTGTGTCACACGTTCTACACGTGGGGAGTAGAGGTGTGGGTGGCCGAATGCCTGCCTGGACAACATCCTAGACCTAAAGGTAAACTCTGTGAATTAGAATTGTGGTCAATAGCTCCCCTTCCTAAAAGCCACATTTATTTTCTCTGCTTTCTAATCATTTCAGTGGTTTCCTCTGAGAACCTTTCTTTTGTGTTAACCATAAGGGCAGTCAATAGTTACTCTCGAACCTTTTGTTTTGTTTTGTTTTTTGAGACAGGGTCTCACTGTGCCGCCCAGGCTGGAGTGCAGTGGTGCGATCTCAGCTCACTGCAAACTCCACCTCCCGGGTTCAAGCGATTCTCCAGTCTCAGCCTCCCCAGTAGCTGGGACTATGGGCATGTGCCACCATGCCCAGCTAATTTTTGTATTTTTAGTAGAGACGAGGTTTCACCATGTTGGCCAGGCTGGTCTCAAACTCCTGAACTCAAGTGATCCACCCGCCTCGGCTTCCCAAAGCACTGGGGTTACAGGCATAAGCCAATGCACCTGGCCTCTCTTGAACCTTTTAAGAGGAGAAGAGAGAAGATACACCTACAAACATGAAAGTGGGGTGCTCCTAGTTTTAAACAGAATTGAGACTACTTGCTGGGTATAGCTGGAAAACCAGATAGTGGTGCTTAAGGAGAAAGAGGTGAAGTGAGTAGATAAAAATCAACTTCCTAAAAAAGAGAAAAATCATCTCTCCTCTCCCAGCCCCAGGCCCACAGTCTTGAGGTCCATCCAACCAGGATGGCTGAGATTTCTGCCCGCTCCCATCCCCCTTCTCACCCAGGACTCTTCATCCCTTCCCATCACTGCCTCTCCTCTGTGGCTCTTCCTTTAGTCTCTTTCAAGGGGGGAGCTGATTCAGCTGCTTTTGTTTTATGGAGTGTGCATGAGATGCCTGCAGACAAAATGCAACTCAAAACAGCCAGGTCAAAGAATGCAAGAAAACAAAGAAACAGAGGAAGAGAAGGGCCACTAAGCTGAATACAGAGGAGAAGCCACAGAAAGTCCAGGAAAGCCACGTTCTGTCTCCGTGCCTCTGTTTCCTCCTTCTGATAGGAGGGGGTAATTCAAGTCGTCGTGAGGATGACAGGAGACATGGCACATGTATGGCACTATGCAGAATGCCTGATGCAGAGTGAAGTACATCAAAAAAGTCAGGTAATATTATTATTACTATTATTATTATTAAATAGCAACGTGATGTGACTTTAGAAGGAAATCTAGCTTTGTCCAAAGATAATCAGAGTTCTTGCAAAAATCAATCCAAATACCTACAAATGGCTCTCGGCTCGTCACAGAGTCCAGTTCTGGCCATCAAGATGCGCACCTGTGTTTCAGGCCCAACAACACCTGATTTTCAGGTGCTGGTGTGTTCAATAATGAATGTCTTCCACCACCTGCTCAGATTTGTACTTAAAGACAGACCCTCTCTTTCCTTCCCCTGACAAGACTGATGATGCCAGGAGGGCAGAGGCTGTCTCGGCCATCTCTCCCAATCCTGAGCTTGGTAACCGGCAGGGGGAGGCACTCATCAACGTTTAAATGAATGAAGAACAAAAAGAGCACAGGCCACCAGCTCCCGCTCCACCCTCTGGAACTGTAAATTCACTTACAGATGAATCAATCACTTAGCAAACACCCAAGTGCCCCATTACCTTTTCTAGATGTAGATTTATCCATCGAGTAAAGGTCCTCTTCTGCACATTTTCCCTCTCAACTGAAAACAAAGAAACACCATTAGCCGGGAGAAAAAGAAATACACGCAAAATCACACCTTCCCCTTCCCAAGGGGAGATTCTAGGTGGAGGGCAGATAGAACCCCAGGGTGTCCCATGTAAGAACAGAGTACTCTCTGGAAGGGGTTGGCACCCAGAACCCATGCTCCCCAGCCCAACCCCTGAGCATCTATGTAAACCCACAGATTCAGACACACAGAACAAAACGTTCTCTACAACCCAGTGCAAACATTGAGACATCTGACAGTTCGAGCTAAGAAACACTGATGAAAAAACTACAAATCAACCCCACAAGAGGCTGTAATGGAACTGCATAGCCACCCAGTGGCAGTGATGGGCATGAGGAGATGGGAGAGGGCAGTCAGGGTCGAGGTGGAGTGGAGTCAATAATTAGGAATTGGGTAGGGGCTCTGGAATGTGCCACAGTCTGGTGAAAGGGATTGGACAGCCCAAGATCGGACTCTGAGCCCTGCCATCTCCCAGCTTTGTGTGCCCGGGCCAGACCCCGACCCTCACGTCTGATCTGCACACTGAGGACAAGGAGCTCACTCTCCAAGCTGCTCTAAGGACACCCAGGCTCCTGCAGAGCCAGCTCCACACAGTCCCTGGCACAGGGGCTGCCAGCGGTTTTTCTTTGTAGCTATTATTTCTAGAGTCAGGGCAGACTTTGCGCCCTCCAGGAATAAAGAGTTCCGCAGACGCTGCTGAGCCAAAGTGAACCAGAAGGACATAAACCAGGAACGGACTCCTCCCAGGGGAGAGCATTACACAAAGAGGCTTCTTAGCAAAGATCTTTCACTGTTAAGGGTGACTGCCATCCGCCAAGCACTCACTGTGTCCCGGACACTTTGTTTCCATTCATCTTTAAACCTTACAACAGGGGTCCCCAACCCGCAGGCCAGGGAGCAGTACTGGTCCGCGTCTGTTAGGAACTGGTCAGCACAGCAGGTGGTGAGCAGCGGGGAGTGAGCATGATGGCCCGAGCTCCACCTCCTGTCAGATCAGCAGAAGCATCAAATCTTCATAGGAGCATGAGAACATCTCCCTCACCACCCTGCCCATGGAAAAATTCTCTTCCACAAAACTGGTCCCTGGTGCCAAAAAGGCTGGAGACCACTGCCTTACAATACCCCCTGCAAAGTACAAACTATTATTTTACAGCTGAACAGAATGCGGCTCAGAGAGGTTCCAGTGACTTGCTCAGCTGAAGAGAGGCAGAGCTGGGAATCCCCACCAGGTCTGCCAGCCCCACACCAGCCAGAACCCTGGAAATGGAAGCCTTGAGTCTGGATTCCAGCTATTCCAATCATGGCGAAGGTGTCTGCAATAGTCACACAGTGATTTTTTTAAAAAAGTACTGAGCGCTTACTATGTGGCAGGCACTGACCCAGGTAATTTACATGATTAACTAATTTAATCCTTACTACCATCCTCTGTGGCAGGTGCTACTACGACCTTCAGATGGGACAATCGTGCTCAGGGAGATGCAACGTGTCCAAGGTCACACAATTAATAGCAAGGTTGTCATTTCTGTTTTGCAGATGAAGAAACGGAGGGGCAAATAGTTAATGAACAGTCAAGGTGGAACCCCAGATTCTGTGCTTTTTCTGCTCTCTCCTGAGTTCTGTGTCGCTGTCTTGGGCCCTCGAGCACCCGGAGGGTGTTTCTGAGATGGGCCCCAGTGCCAGCGTCTGGGTGAGGGTGTGTGGTGGCCCGAGGCTGCAGCCTCCTCGGCTGTGAGCTGCCGGGCCTCCAGGAAACTTCCTTCAATATCTGAGCCAGACGTCTCCTCAACCACTCAGTTCTGGATTTCAACATATTGAAAGACCATATCACATATGCCTAAAACTGTTTCACATTTCTTTAGCAATAAGAAAATAAGAGGCAATTTATCTCCTGCAGGAGAGCAAAGGCTATGCTTTTCTGAAACAATGGGACCTTTTTCCTCTTGGCCTCATTATGTGGTAGAATGTGGCACCCATAAATCACGTTTCAATATTACGCCTTACAATCTTTTTAACTGAAGAACCAGCAGACAGTAACTACGCACATCACTGCTTTTCTGTTTCCTCCTTTTCTGGAAGGGCGGGTCACTGGCTAGTAGGCATAAGAATTAAAGACCGAATTCCAGTAAACTGTGTTTCATGGGTGAGAGGGAAGGGAGGACGAAAATAAGTTAATAGGAATGAGGTTGGGAGGAGACATCTGCTGAGACCAGTGAGTACCAGAGTCTTGGAGACTCCTGGAAGCCTGGAGAGCGTCTGTCCCAAGCTCTATCGGAGATCCTCCAGTTTGCAATATGGATCCACCTTCATCTCTCTGATGGGCTAGTGTTTTCCAGAGTCTGGGTGTTCGCCCCATGGATGGACATCAAGGCTACTGCCCATTTTTCACTGTTTCAAGCAATGCAGAAATAAGCATTGTATGAGCATCCTGGTGCATGGTTCTTTGTGCACAAATAGATGAATATATTTCTTGCCCATGACAACTAAAAGTGGAACTGCTGGGTCTTAGTGGTAGGCACATTAAAAATTTTAATAGCTACTTCCAAATTGCCCTCCCACAAGGCTGCCCGGTTTATGCTTTTACCCCCACCTGTCTTTAAACAAGTTTATGGGGACCGTAAAGTATTTACACACACATTCAAACACTCAGGCTGGTTTCTCCATATGGCTTCAGAGAGAACAAGGTATATCCCCTGAAACAGAAGTGCATTTAGTAAAAGCCTCAGAGAACCTGGGTTAGGTTGCCAGTTTAACTGCACTCAAGGGTGTAAATGAGGAGATGGGTATCTGACAGTCTACACATAACTCATCTATCCGTCCATCCATCCATCCACCCATCCATCCATCCATCCATCCATCCATCTATCCACCCATCCATTTATCCATCCATCCATTCATCCATCTATCCACCCATCCATTTATCCATCTATCCATTCATCCATCCGTCCGTCCATCCATCCATCCATCCATCCATCCATCCATCCATCCATCCATCCAATCATCTATTCATCCTCCCAGCTGATATTTATGCAGTAATTGCCATATTCTGGAAATTAGGATAGGTTCTCTGGGCAAAACCAGAGATGAAGAATTAAGCATTCATGGAATCTGCACTTCAAAAATTCACAGCCAAATAAGTAAAAGAGAGAAAACATGGCTGTCACAAGGTGCACATGCAAGGAGCAATGGATTAGAGTGCCGAAGGCTGACAGGAACTGGAAAAGGTGACTTCAGACCCCATGAGGTTCTCCTGCAGGGCCCTAAGAGGACCTGCTGGCAGAACTGGAACAAAGCGGGGGGTGGCCAAAGGCAAAGCCTCTGTTTTAACTCTGTCCTGATTCATAGCCAACCCCTCTGGGGTTGGCTTCACTTCTGTTCTAGCCAAAGCCAGCAGGCTGACCTGAGCAGAAATCAGCTTCAACAGCAAAGCTAACCCACAGAGGGGGATGGGGCTGACGGAAGGACCCCAGGGGACCCTGAGACAACTACAAATAGCAGACAAGTCCCAAACTGAAGCAGAGTGTGGACACCATGTTATTCGGACCTAAAACTGGGACGCATTGCTCAATACACAGGAGAGCCTGCGAGAACTCAGGCTGCCCCAGAACATCCACTTCAGCGCCACGCACCACTGGCTGGGCGAGCTTGAGCACATTTGCAATTTTCAAAACACCTTTGCCTTGGTATCCCCTCCACAGAATGAGGTTGGCCTCGCCTCCCTCACAGGAATGCTATGGAGATGAAATGATATCACCCCAGAAAGCACCCCCACAGCCGCTGCCGCAAGCAAGGCCAGTTTCCTCCACCCCAGAGTCCCCCAGCTTTGCTCTGGTCACCGGTGTTTTGACTGGTGCCTTGACACGAAGGTCTGCGGCTCTTTCATGGCCTTCTCCGCTTTGGGATGCCCATCCCCCATCCTGCAGACTCTTTCTACTTCTGGCCTGCCAAGACTCCATAAACTTTATATAGTTTCCATAAATCCAACGGCCCCTTTTTTCCTATCACGTTGTAAAGGTGTAGGAAACCATTTCTCTGGAAGGGCCTGGCCTTCTCACACAGTGTTTGTGAGGCCCGGTGTGGGTTTACTGGGCAAGAATAGAGTCATAAAAGTGCTGTAAAATCGCCATCCCTGGCTCTGCGTGGCTGGCCAGGGTGCCCGAGTGCCGGGTCGGGTGGAGGAGCAGGAGCTGGCTAGGCCTGGACTCCAGGGGCCGAGACAGAAAGGAGGGAGACCTGGCCCTGGCTCAGCCGCACCAGCCCAAATTCCTAGCGGTGTCTTTAGCTCTGCTGTGCCATGAACAGATCACTTGAAAATGGGAGGTGGGGCATTCCTCTCTTCTCCAGGCTGTCCGTGGCCGGCTCAGGAGTTTGGAGTCACAGAGGAAGGGTTGCAGGCACTAGGAGTTAAAATGTTTATTTACAGTTGTGGCTTTTTGTCTCTATGTCCACATTTGCCCCACATCTACTTTCTACATATTGATAATACTTCTGCTCTTTGCTGCCCAGGAGAAAGTCTTGACGGCTTTATCTGCTCATAAAAAATTATAAGCTCATTGTAAAAAATTAAAATACAGAAAAGCATAGGAAAAAATATCTAAAATTGCTTGACATTTCATTATGCCCAGAGAAAACACACACACACTCTCTCTCTCTCACACACACACACACACACACACACAGAGCAAGCACATGTACTCCTGTATACAATTTAAATGTGATCAGTAAATGGCTCAGAGTTTCTCAACGTGTGGCCCACATGGGTCACTAACGTCATGAGCCTCTGGGATGACAGTTAAGATGCTAATTCCTGGACTCTAGACCTACTGCCTCACACTGGGGCCGGGGCCTGGGAATCTGCATTTAACCAGCTCTGCAGTTGATGAGGATGTACAGCTTGGAAACTTAAATCTTAGCCAGAGGAGATGATTTGCATCATTTTTTGGTCATCTTTGGGAGGGGTAGAGAATGACAATGAG